AAACAGCCTCAAATGTCTGGTATTTAACATCTAAACTGACGTTTGTGTTTCTATTTAAGTGTGGTTAACAATTAAGAAGTTAAAAGCTTGTTATTGTTGGTCCCAAAACCTTTTATAGGAAATTAATCGTTCATAATCAGGTGTACTCTAGTTAAATTTGTACGATTTGTAAAATAAACGGTCACATGTTATGGTTCAAATCAACATTCATTGACTGAAAGTTACTTTTTGTGTCCATTCATTTTTACACTAAAGCAGAGGTGTTCAAAGTGGGGCCCACGGGCCAAATTTGGCCCGCCAAGCCATTTGATTTGGCCCACTAGCAGCTGTCCTGGTTACTAGATTGTAATCTCCTGTCTTATGTAGAAATACTATATTTACACTTAGTCTTTTAAACCATTGGTCCAACTATAGGTACAAGAAGCTGTAGTCAGATGGTCTTAAAATACAACTTTACTGGAAGTATTTGCATTTCATGTATTGTATTATTGAGTTTGGCACACCACCCTCAGATTGATTTTAATTTTGTCCTTTTCAAGGAAAATGGTTTTTAATCTCGGCCCTCTCAGRGAAAATGTTTGGGCACTCCTGCACTAAAGAAATGTTTATCCAAAATAAAAGAGATCCTTGCTAATTAAATTACTCTCATAACCTTGTTATAAGAAGTGTAAGTATAAACCCTTTCAAGATTGTCCAGAAATCTTAYTCAAGTCAGCGTAGTAATTCTTCATAATTATTTACTCAAGTAACAGTAAAAAGTACAGCATAGTAAAAATACTCCTAAAACATATCCAAGTAAATGTAACTAGCTACCACCCAACTCTGCTCTTACTTTACAACATTTATTATCAGTGAAATTCATTTTTACCAAAGTAATTTTCTGTTCAGATATTTTTACTTTCAAGTACTGTAGTACACCTTTGCAGGAAGTAAACACAGCTTCTCAAACATATGTGATTTAAATCTGAGAATGATCAGACTGTTTTCCTTGCTTCAGCTGGTGTTTCTGCAGTAACAGGTGTTGAGTTGTTTTTTATTAGAGACACTAGATGGCGCTGTGCTCTCATGAAATCTGTTCACTAAAAAAACTACATAAAAATACTAAAACATTGGAATTTAAAGCAGAGTATAAAAGCTGTGCGATTCAAACAAACTGGATTTGAAGGCTTTACTCCACATATRAACCTTCAGTTACAGACTCAAAACGTTTCATCCTGATAGTGCTGACCTCAGCATAATAAAACAGACTACACCCCACAGTAAACAGATATTAATACACGATGTGGCGCAACTTTAATATCTCACAACATGGTGTGCATTACTGTCTCAGTTATAGGTTTAACTAAGTTTGGAAAAATCCATTTACAAATAAAACTAATTACTGTTCTAACCTGCTAATTAGTGGATTGGTGTTTGTTGGTGCACAGCTTCTGAGAGTTTTTAGATTCAGTAAGCCCTGTGAGTCAGAGTGGTGCAAACATTTTACACTCTGACCTCCAAAGAAACACAAACATTACTTTAAAAAAATGAAGTTGTTATTTGATAACACAATTAGATACAGCGGGTAAAATAAGTATTGAACACGTCACCATTTTTCTCAGTAAATATATTACTAGAGGTGCTAATGACATGAAATTTTCACCAGACGTTGGTAACAACCCAAGTTGTATATACTGTATACACTCACCGGCCACTTTATTAGGTACACCACGCTAGTAACGGGTTGGACCCCCTTTTGCC